TATTGTAAAATAATATAAAAAAATTTTTTATCAATTGTGTAACGATTTTGTGACGTATCAACGTTTCCTCCTGTTGTAAAAATATGCACATTGGTGTTAAATAATGGTAGTTGATTGGATTATATGCGCTGCTGCGCGGCACAATCTGCCAATCATTTTACCGTCATCCAACACCCATGTGCACCCTACTCAATAACTATGGTGCTCTAAGTCACTTCTTATCAAAAATCATGACTTTTTAAAAATTTTATAAAATCTTAGGTTTTGAATATTTTTTAAAATATGACCAATAAAAACTATTGTTTTTCATTAGTTTCTATCCAAATTATCTGTCATAATTTTAAAAACTTTTAAGATTTAAAGTTATAAGTGTTTAAAGCTACTATGTTTTCAAAATTTTGGTATTTGAAATAAAAAAATTAGATTTTTTTTTTATCCAATCAGAATTAGTATAATGCATTCTGTTGGTTAAAAAGCATCTATATATACCTTAACTTTGGCGCATTGATGTGAAGTGACTTGGAGCACTATATAAAATATCCAGCATATTCTGCTAGAGCACATCAAGCATAGTGGACTTTAAATCTGATTAGATGACAGATTTGATGATAGATTGAAATGGTACACAATATTTTCAGGTACAAAAATGAATTGGCAGCCACAGATACGAATTGGCTAAGATGGATGCACAAAAAATTCAAAGTATATTTTTTGTTCTATAAATTATCAAAGTAATTCAGTAATCCGAAATGTAATTCGGAAGTTAATATGTTTAAAGTTTAAGCTTAGCTTATAGGTAAATCAATTATACTCTGCAGCTTAAGCTGACTTTTTTTTGCAAAAACTTATTCTTTGTGATCCCAACTAATAGAAACCTAACTAAATATGAAACAAAGATTATAAATTTTATAAGAAAGAGTTAAAGTGGTTGTATTATAACTGTATAACGATTATTAAAAAAATTAATCAGTTAATATTGAAGAATACTAAAAGTTGGTTTTGATTATTTTTTATTAGCTATTAGTAATCTAGAATAGGTTTAAACTTTTTGTAAATTTCGCAATTTGATTGGTTGAATAATCCTGTAGTGATAATTTGACTGGTCGATACAATGAGTGATCTGTGTAACGAGAATGAAAATCATAGGACGTTTCCTCCTGTTTATTTTTACACTCTATTCTCACAGTTGTATAATCTATATCATAGGTTTAAACTTTTCTTCGTGTTTTTTTTTTTTTTAGGATCAAAATTTAAGCTATAAAAAAAAAGATAAATCAGTGATGACGTAAATGCACAAATATGGTGCAGTCGTCAATAATATGGCTGCACAATAATTTGCATACAACAGTATAATCAGCCGGTGGTTTTCCACCTGCATAAAGCAGGTCGGCTATAACCAGAAGTTTTGCGGTCAAGTTAGCGATACATAACATTGACCAGTGGGTGCGAATATTGTTCACCTTTTCAGACAGCTGACTGGCTGCTTTACTTTGTCAGGCCTTATTAAATCTGTACATTTTATATTTGCCTCATGTTATTCCATTAATTGAATTACAGTATACTTATTGCGGCGTCGATTATCCAGGAGTTATACGTATGTACCGGCTATCGCTAGGTTACCATGTGATTATCAACGTGCCAATGCATTATACACTGTACGTACGTACGTACATTCGTACATTTCTATAAATAAGTGCTGCCTACATACGTATGTCATAGAAACTATTTTGGCTTGGTTGGAAATATCTCGGCATTATGAAATTGCCGAGGTATCTTTGAAATTTTATATCAAAAATCAATGCCGAAATACTTTCAGTCAAGCTCTACAACATGTGCAAAAGAAAATGAGGCTTTGACTTTCAATTTATTTTATCATTTATTATTTACCAGATTTAGCTTTTTAATGAGCTGTATCTGATAAATAATAATTGACAAACTTGTGGCAGCACTCAAATGATTACTAATAGAATAGTAAAGTTTAGACACTCAATGATTACTAATCGAATAGAAAAGCTTATAAACAATATACGTACATGCGTAAATACACTCCGTAAGTCAAAAACGCTTAAATAGACTCCTTTCTCACCTGGGACAACTGAAAAAGTAATCATTCAATCTTATCTAGTATAAAAAGAAAAATGGCTATCAAACTCATCGGGTTTGCTCAAACACTACATACTCGCAGAGTTATTTTAACTCTTAATGAATTAGGTCTTTCTTACGAACTCGAAGCTATTACTGAAGTTCAAACTACCAAAACTGAGGAGTTTCTCGCGAATAAGCACCCTTTGTAAGTATCATCTATTCATATCCTGAAATTCATATCCTGAATGTTTATACATAGTTCGTACTAAAAAAAATCATTTTAATTTTAGCGGAAAAATCCCTGTTCTTTGTGATGGTGATTTTATAATTAATGAATCTCGTGCAATTTGTCGCTACTTAGTATCTAAATATCAGGAAGACGCAAAAACTGTCTTAATCCCTAATGATATTAACAAAGCTAGTTTAGTTGAACAATATATCTCTTACGAATTATCATACTTTGATCCACCACTTACAAAAATCCTAATTCAAGAAGTATTTAATAAAAGAAGAGGTGAAGCCACGGATCAAGCAGTAGTTAAGCAAGCATGTGAGGAAATTGAAAAGGTTTTAGATGTTTATGAGAAGATTTTGGTAAGAAAAGATTATTTAAATGGTGAATATTCTTTAGCTGATCTCTTTCATATTCCATGTGCGTATTATATCTGCACTGCCACACCACATGGTGATATATTTGATAAAAGACCTAATGTTAAGAGATGGTTGAATAATTTAAGAAATCGTGAGCTGATTAGTCCATATACAATATAAATTAACACATGTATTATTTTTATTTAGTACTAATTCAATTTGTCTTATATATAAGAATTGGCAAGAAATTTATTCATGCTAATAAATTTTTTCTAGCTGCTTTTTTTATAAAACATATAATAATATTCTTTCATTAATATGTTGGTGTGGTAACTTTTTTTTTTTTTTTTTTTTTTTTTTTTTTTTTTTTTTTTTTTTTTTTTAACTATTTTTTTTTTATTTTAATAATAATAATAACAATAAAAAATAAAAAAACAAGTAGCAAAACATAATAA